CTGTCTAACATTGTGCCTGGTTAGACTAGAATTCTACAAATGTCTGCTGAGCACATAAATAAATGTAACCAACTTTAAATCCAGTTTTCATTTAGCCATTGTGTATTATGAGGTTTTATTTTTACATGTGTAACCTGAATTGTTGATAAACTAAGACAAACACAGTGTTGAGGACACTATTTGATTTCTTGTCCTGTTAATAGATTTTTATACTTTAGTAACAGTTATTTATTGAATCCATATACAATGAACAGAATATATTAGTATGACCATAAATCTCATAGCTTGGGTTTACTTTATGTTCCAGGATGTTAAAAGTGGACCATTCTGTCTTTGTTTCTGGGATGAAGACTAAAACAGAGAGAACATTGATGAAAGATATCCCCCTTTCGACAGTGAAGTATTGTACAACTTATGAATGACATACAAAAAGAGCGGGTTAAAGTCAGTTTTGTGGCCCTTAGCCCAAAACCCATTGAGGGTATAAAAAGTTTGAGATTGAAAGGCTATTAAAGAGAGTGTCCTTGGAGAAAAGTGTTGGAGTGCTACAGCATTTCTCTCCTGCTACCTATGGAGAAAGGGAGGAGGCTGCTTTCTCCTTACATCAAGTCAGGTGGGAGGAGCTGTTGTGTCTCCCCTGGGGTTCAGGGACCCAGTGAACTGGTAATTAAATCACACAGAAAAAATAGACAATGGAGAAACTGGCTAAGTGGCTGATGGCAACTGAGAAAGAAAGCTGTATTCAATTGTAGGAGCAAACATGAGAGTGGAAACAAGGATATGTAGCATTTCTCAGGGACCAGCTCTTGGCCATGCAGGACAGAACCAGCCTGGAGCCATTTAAATTTTGGTGGAGACAACTGCATGGAAGGGATGAGGGGATGGTCTACTGCATGCCCTGAGGCTGAGGGAAATAATTAAAATAGCCAGTGGAAGATGGAGAACACATTGCTTATGTCACAGGAACTTTACACAAGTAGACCCAATGAGACAAGCTTCACAGACCCATAAAACTGTCCCTTCGCTTTTCCTAGAGTCAACCACGAACAACCATGAAAACCAGAGAATCCAAGGCCACATCGCGGTATTTCTTGTTTGTCCCCTCTTTTCCTTCCTCCTTCCAACCTTGGAAAATCCAAAGACAACCAAATGGGTAAATAAGGGGAGGAAGAAATTAAATATAAGAACATAAAGCCATTCTCCACACCTGCCTGCCACTGCAGATTCCGGTCGGAACAAGCCAAGCCAGAGGAGAGAAGCCTTAATTGGATATGAAGTGTAAAGTTTTGCTATACCATGGGACTTAAAATGAGAATTTGTTTTATGACTAGAAGAACTAGAAGCCTTTTGATTTTCTTTGAGTGACTGGAAAAGTCAAGGAACTTGTCAAATATTTCCTCCAAAGGGTGGAGGTCTCCCTTCATCTACCAAGTAGGAGGTTCAAATGAGCAAAGGAACAGGCCAGCACTTTCCAGTTTCAGCCTCATCCTGTGGATTCCTGTTATTTCGACAGAAATGCAGTCACCTCCATAAACCAAAATTATTTTCAAAGTGGTAGCCATCAGTAATTGGGTAATTGTCAGGAAGCTTGAAATGTTTTCTCAGAAGAAATGGTGGTTCACATTCACATTATCCAAGCTTTCACTTCCACACTATATCTTACAGTTAAGGAGGCAAAATCATTGATGACATTACTTCCATTTTCATCCAGAAAAATATTTTTCTTGCTTTAAAACCATTTTTAAAATATTTCAAAAATATTTTAATATGTGACTATGAGGAAGGGTTTCATTTAATTTTTTTATTTTATAAGCTGCATTAAATTCACCAGCAGGCACAGAAACAAAACTATATTCCAAATGATCTTCCATAAGCAGATCTATAATTCCATAGGGTAAAATGGATTCTCAACATATTGTAAATAAACAAATGATAAGTATTTTTAGATGAGAATAACAGTGTCTATAAATCACTATCTAGCTCCTGCTGAAAATATAAAGCGCCCCTAAAGAGTTAATTCAAAAATGACATATAAGGCTTGTTTTGTCTCCAGTGACTAAATTTAGTTTCACCATCCACCTGGTTGGTCTTATCCTCTAAGGTGGAAATCAGACAGTCAGATGTAAAATCTGGGAAATTTTCCAAATTCATACTAAAAAAAAATTGGGTGCTGAATACAAAGCATCCTTCCATTTGCAATAGTGTTTCCAAATAACATTCCTAGCATCAAATATGTCTACATGACAAAACCCAGGCAGGTCAAAAAGGAAAAGCTCTGTTGATTTGTTTAGCCTGTAGATTGCCTTTCTGGTCACATTACACTGCTTATTTGCTATTCCCAATTTCTCCATGCCTTGGCATCTCTGTGTGGTGATCCTGATGGAGCCTTTGTTTTTGCTGATAGATTAGGACATCAGAAGCTCTTCCATCTCTTTCAAGTTCTGAGAAGACTTAAATTTCTGCAGATGAGGTGAATAGAAATATACGCCAAGTTGAGAAACCAACCATCAGGAATGAGTAGAAAACAGACTCAGTGGGAATGTATCCTACACTGCTGTCCACTAAGACCTTGGGATATGGGGGCTGCCTCAATGCTTGTTTGAATTTTCCTTTGGCTCTATTTCCTCAGGCTACTGCCACACGTTACCCTCCCCATTACCTTTGCTCAAAGACCTCATCTCAGTACAATCGTCTTTCCACTGTACTCTTTCTAGGTTTATGCCAGCACAGTTAGTGCCACCCAGAAACTACTCATACTTAAATCTCCTTTGCTCTCATTAAAACATCTAAGGGATTCTCAGCTTTGGCAGGCTTTTGGTTTCTCTTTTAGGCATCACAACAGCCTCTTGTACAGTGACAGTATGCCCTCCACTTTTATATTTACTTATTACCCGAGTTGATAGACTCCTGTTGGGGAATCATATCCATGTATATCCTTGAATTCATCACTTGCACAAACACACATACTCATTTATATATACTCTTTTCACAGGTGCACCAGAATCAATTTGAGCACTATCCCAAATTTGCCTTCTCCCTTCAGCCACCATCCCCCAACTCTGGCTTCTGCTACTTCTCTTGCTTTCTGCTGGGAGCTGCCTTGGCAAAGGCTTAGGCTGTTCCCGTGGTGCTAAAGCCAAAAAAAAATCTCCATGCAATTCACCAATTGACAGGAGAGACCCTAGTTTTTCCAGCAGCTGACAGAAGGGCCAGATAACACAACCCAGAATTTACCTGGAGTCAATTCCTTTGATTTAGGCCAGTAAAATACAGAAGAAGGGAAAGAACTAGCAGATGAATACTGATATCTCTGCAGTAGACTCTTCCAAGATGCAATGCTCCGAAGAGCCTCTCTGGAGACCTGACAACCAGATCTGTTTTGTTTGTTGCAGTTCCACATTGGACCATGTTGGGTTTGCTCTTTTCCTCCCGACTGTCTTTCATTTTTCTCACTCTTGCTTTCCTGAGATTGCACTTTCCGATAAACCACTAGCAGTTACCTTTTGTTTTCTAAGAGATCTATGTAAAGAGGGTGGAAGATAAGCTATTTTGTCCCTTCAATTCAGGAAAAATATGGCTTTAAAAATTCATCTACTATAACTATTTATTCAGTCCTTGAATGTTTTCCCTTTGTCACAGGTCAGTCATTTGGACTTAACTGAATATATCATAAAGCCTTCTTCCCTCTCATATAAGTAACAAAGCTCTCCCAGAAACCTAAAAGGGTTAATGAGCTTCTTAAGAGCTTAATTATGCTGTGCCTGTGGGTGTATTGAAAAACTGGGTTTTTTTGTCTGATTTACCAAAGTTTTTTTTAACTAAGTGAATGCAATGAGTAAGGTGATTCCCTATTCTTGTTGTGCCGTAGATATGAGCAAAGGTGAGTCATGAGATATTTATATAAATTTTATGTAAATGTTACTGGTTTATCCCAGTTTACCAACATAGACACAGTTCTGTTCCTTTCAACTGGTTAAGATGGTCGGCGAGAGTAGGGGAAGAAAATCTATGACTTGGTTTGTATTTTTTTAATTATATCAGACAGCTTTTTCCCTAATGCTTAGTGTCTCCATTTTAACTGCTAAATGAATGGAAAATTTAGCTTTTTATGTGGTTCACTTCATTTATAAATGTGTGCCCTGAAAATCTCAGCATCATATTTCATCGATGTAGTATATATTTTTAATCATCAATAATTATTTTTCCAAGCTGAGTTAATATCCTTGATTCTGACTAAATGAGAAAGTTAGTAGGAGGGGTCAAGAGGAGGTTCTTTGGAAATAATCACAATCAAATCAAGACCGAATTTGCTAGAGCTGATGTCATTTCACACTGTCAGATTTATGTGCATGAGGACTGAACTGGACATTTCTCCTTTTTATGTTGTACTGAGTTGTTCTTTAAATTACAGAATTAAATGCTCAAAGATGAAAACTTTTGAGTTACAGTGTCCCTGAATCAAATGCTGTAAAGATAAAGTAGCTTTGCTGTTATGTCTGTCAAAGCCTTCTAGCTATACTTCACATTTGGCGCTTTTATATTTGTTCTTCTATTTCTATTTTGTTAAATAAAATGTTGGAACATATACCAAGAAACACAGATTGTCCATAGCAGCATGAGACTTGGGCTGTGGTTGGAAATAATTTAAATTAAACATTACATGAACACTGAAGAAGTTTCCAACTTCCCAATTTAACTTGTGTATAAATTATACCCCCCTCAAAAAAATGCAATACAAGAATATTATACTGAGAATTCTAGGTATCTAAATATATGATTGCTAGATGGATGAATAGATAAATAGATAGATAGATCAATCTATATTTGTATATAAATTATACTTAAAATGAAAATTAAATATATTCTCATTTTAAACAAAAGATTACTAAATCTCATGAGAATAAAGTACCAAACATAGAAAAGTCCCTAGAACATAAATCATGCTTGAAAAAAAATTACCTTGCTTAAAATATAAATTATGCTGTAAAAAAAAAAAATACCTATCTTATACATCCTGTGATCAGGTAAGGAGCATTCAATGATCAGGATGTCGATAATCTTGCAAATGCTTTCCCAGTTGGGCAACTCACAATATTCCTTTTATTCCATAGTTCTGCAAAATGCTGTGTTGCTTATCAAGTTTTAAAATAACTGCTTCCGTGTCCACATTTTGGCAGCCACAAACTATGGCGTGACTAGAACTTTGCTCATGTTACTTTGGATTCACAGGCTGTGTCTAAATGCAGCCTCTGAATTGGAGTGCTGCATGCTGAATCTAGCCAAGTTGGTTGCAGAGACCTTCATCAAATGTTAAGATATCAAAACGATGCAATTATTAAAGCCTTTTTAGCTCTATAGGCCCAGGCATAGTCTAGGCCAATTCTCAACATATGCTACAGAATGACAGAGATATTTGGAGTCTGATGCGATTCTTGGAGTTGGTAAAAGATAACCCTGATTGGAGGGTGGCAGGGAGTAGATGTTTTAAAAAAACAGCCCTGACTTAATCACCTATTGGGTTACCAGAGAAATTTCCTAAAGATAATTATCTCTGGCCCATTTATAATCCTCTCTACAAGGGAAAGAAACCAGAAAAAAGCAAAATAGATACACCAATAGGAACATGTAATGAATAATTTGTGCTCATAAATTTGAAGACTAAGTGAAGAAATTTCTAGAAAACATAACTTACCAAAACATGCTCAAGGTGTTAACAACCCAAGCAGTATTGTAACCATAAAAGCCATAAAGTAGAGTTAAATCTTCCACAAAGAAAACAATGGGTCCCGATAATTTTACAGGCAATTTCTACAAACTTTTTAGGGAACAATTAATTTCAGTCTTACACAAACTCTTCCAGAGTATAGAAAATATGAGAAAGAGAGGAAAATAAATTTTATGTTATTTTATAAATTCTCCATACCAAAATCAAACAAGGGCAATATGAGAAAGAAAAATTATATACCAATCTAATTCATGTGCATAAATTCAAAAATCCAAAACAAAATACTAGTAAGCTCAATTCAGCATTGTATATGAAATGCATTATTATTCAAAATTCAGTGTCTACCATTATGTTAAGTGAAATAAGTCAGACACAGAAAGACAAATACCACATTATCTCATTCACGTGGAATGTAATAGCCTTTATCTCATAGAAGCGGAGAGTTGAATATTGGTTACTAAAATCTGGGAAGGGTTGTGGGGAGGGAAAGACAGAGACAGGTTGGTCAACAAGTACAAAGTTACAGTTAGATAGGAGGAATCAGTTCTAGTCTTCCATGGCAAGCATGGTGACTAGAGTTCACAAGAACATATGGGATGTTTCAAAATACAGTCATGCTTCTCTTAAAGATGAGGATACATTCTGAGAAATGCACCATAGGCAATTTTCTCCTTGTGCCAACATCATAGAGTATACTTACACAAACCTAGATGGTGTATCTATTACATACCTAGACTAGATGGTATAGCCTATTGCTCCTAGCCTAGCCTGAAAACATGTACAGCATGTTACTGTACTAAATACTATAGGTAATGGTAACACGGTGGTAAGTATCTGTGTATCTAAACATATGAAAACATAGAAAAAGCACAGTAAAAATATAGTATGGGAACACCATCATGCATGTGGTCTAGTCATTGATTAAAATGTAATGCAGCACATGACTATAGCTAAAAGAGAGGACTCCAAATGTTCTCACCAAGAAGACATGATAAATATTTGAGGTGATGGATATGCTAATTATCCTAATCTGATCATTATGTATCAAGATATCACAGTATATGAAGATATCACAGTATATGATCCCATAAATATGAACAATTATTATACATCAATTTAAAATAAAATGAAACTTTTTTAAAAGAATGCAAATTGAGTCTTGTGCTTTCAGCTCTGACATGTGAGGAGCTTGGAGTTGTCACTCCCACCCTCACAAAGAAAAGCTGGACAAAATGAAAAATCAAAAACTTTTCTTAAATCTATCAGATAAACTAAGTTGTAAAAACAAACTGCCACCCCAAAATCTGGAGAGAGGCAAACCCAGAAAGACACAACAATCAATATCTATAAGATCTGCTTAACGAGAGCAGAAATTGCTGAAGCCATAACCTATAGGAACAATTAAACGGTAATTTTGACAATTGCTGAAGACTAAAGGTAAACTAGTCTTAGGGAGTGAGAAACCCCTGGGACCTCAGATTTTTCTGGACTTTTCCTTCAGAAAAATCATTGCCTCAATGTCCTGAAAAAGTTTATTCCTAGAGATACATGGAAATTTAACTCAATAAATATTATAGAGAGCATGAGAAATCTGCCAATGTTTCAAAAACGGGCTTTTATATAAAACAATCATAGAACTGATATAGTAGGATTTTTGGTTTTCTTGCTCTTTTTCTCAGTCTGTAAAAAGCAACATGTTTTTAAATGTCATAGGTAATTTCCTTGGAACCTTTTGACATCAGCTTTTGTGTCTTCTAATTCCCTATGTTCTATCTGTTTTCAAAATTTGCACTTGCCATTTATCTCTCTATTGTTTTCTCTGAAATGTGTACAACGATGCATAGTCTCCAAATCTAGATAGGTCAAAAGATGTGCTTATTAAACACAGTGCATTGCACTCTATTTTTTTTAGTTATGAGATATTCTATAAGAAAATACTTAAATCAATTATGCTTCATCTTATACAATAAAAACAGCTTTCTCTTTAAAGCTGTTACACATATTGGGGAGAAGATATTGGTTTTTTACTAGTATTATTTCTGAACACACATCTCCTAATGAAACTGTGGACTTCACCTTTTTTACTTTTTTCAATTGGTTCCCTAAACAATAAAACAAGTTCTAGTTCATTTCTAGTGGCTAGAAGGTCTGGAACTTAGGAAACCAAGTGCTGCTATTTCATTTCTTGTGCTTCTCTGAAAAGCCTAAGGTTTAAAAATATAATAACAACGTTGGCTAATGGAAGCTGTCCTTTGACTCAAACATCTACTTCAGCACTTAAGATTAACAGGCATAGTATTTATACTTAGGATGTACACTCCTAAATTAAGAATAAACTATACCCTATGGTGTGGATTCAAATTAGATATTCAAATTAGTCGTTTTATAGTTTTGCATACTTTACCATGTACATTTTAAATGATATAAATATGCTTTAATTGTTGTGTTTGAAGGTTAAGCTACCACATTAAAATTTCTTTGTTTTTCATGTTCTGATAGTAATCAACTGATTCTAATTTTACTCAGTGTATTAACCTAAAAACATTATGGTTTTTCTTTTCCTTAATATTTTAGTGATTCGTACACCCATGATCCCACAATGTTTTTATAAATGGGTATACACAAAGGTCACACCATTTTATGAAAGGCTTGTGATTTATTTTTAAAATAGCGAAAGACTAGACAGGATGGATAAAAAGGAAAAAGTTGGGGTCAGGGAAACATCTTTAAATGCAACAACATGATCAGAGCTGTAATGCTATCGGTTTGGGGTTCTACCTATCACTACCTGTTTGTGCTTGTGGTCATATTCTGATCTATTCCCAGAACCTATTGTTGGAAAATTATCTATCCCTAAAAAGATCTGTGTCTGAGAACTAAGTCTCTGAACATTGATATTCACCCCTGCTAATTATTGAGGCAGTGTATTCATTTTCTATGGCTGCTATAACAAATTACCAAAATGTAGTGTCTTAAAACAACACAGATTTGTTACCTCACAGTTCCAGAGGGCAGAAGTTCAAAATGAGGTTTGCTGGGTTAAAATCAATGTGCCAGTAAGGCTGGTTTTCTTCTAGAGGCTGCAAAGGAGAATTTGTTTCCTTGCTTTTTCCAGCTCCTAGAAGCCACCCACACTTTCTTTGATTCATAATCCCCCTTCTCCATCTTCAAAGCCAGGAATGTCAGGCTCAGTTCTTCTCATGCTGCCATTTCTCTGGTTCTCTTTTCCAATCCCATTTCCACTTTTAAGAAAAAGTTGGCAATGGCCCACCCAGATAACACAGAATAATCTTTCCATCTGAGGTCAGGTGGTTAGCAACCTTAATTCTGTCTGAAATCCTAACTCCCCTTTGCCATTGTCTTAGTCCATTTCAGGCTGCTATTACAAGATACCTTAGACCTGGTAATTTATAAACAATAAAAAATTCATTGTTCACAGTTCTAAAAGCTGGGAAGTCCAAGGTCAAGGCACCAGCAACTTCAGTGTCTGGTGAGAGCTGGTTTCTCATATTGGCACCTTCTATGTGACCTTATATGATCTCACATGATGGAAGGGATAAACAGGCCCCATCAAGCCTCTTTTATAAGGGTATTAGTCCCATTCATGAGGGTGGAGTTCTTATGACCTAATTATCTGTCTAATACCCCCCACCCTCAATACCATCACCTTGGGAACTAGGTTTCAACACATTTATTTTGAAGGGACACCAGCATTCAGACCATAGCAACCATGTAACCTACATGCAGATTCTTGGATTAGGACGTGAACATCTTTGGGGAGCCATTATTCTGCCTACCACAGGCAGTAAACGATTACATAGCATTATTTTCACAACGTCAGCTGCGATGCTCCCTGGGCAGCAATGTACATCCCATATGACACCTGACTCTGGCAACCCTCTTAAGTATTAACAATTGGCACAGAAATACGTGCCCCCGAGGAGGGGCATTCTTCCTGCCACCGCAACACTTTTGCTATGGAGCTGCCCTATGGGTACCTCAGCATTGTGACATAATACTGACTCACATGAGAAGTTGAAGGTATCAAAAAGCCTGAAAACCACAGGAGAGGATCTTCAGAAAGAGAAAAAGCTCAGTATTCATGCCTCCCAGCAGCTGTATCCCAGAATTTTGAATCTACACATCCACAAGGCTCTTTTTCAGAAGCTACCTGGAAACTAGTGACTCTCCCAACAGACCGAGTCTAAAATCCCTCAGTATTCATTAGTGTAAATACAAAGCAAGTGTAAGAGGTTTTTTCCCAACAATAAGATAGAAGTTTAGGACTCTCTGACAAAACAGTGCACCCAATCTCAGCTGATGGGACAATTCTGATCACAATACCACTCATCAGCCCAGACTCCTGCCAAGCCAGTGTTGCTACATCATCATTGTCCTCATCTGCTTGGTCAAAGTGGGTTTCCTCCAAATCTGTTTCCACCCCACAGGACTAATAAACAAAGGAAGTTCATAGTGAACAATTTCTTTTTCAGCAAATGAGGCAGTGTTTGCACACATCACTTCTTTTTATATTCAAGACTTCATCAAAGGGATACACCCAGCTGTAAGGGAGGCTGAGAAA